ATCACCAGGTTGTGGAACTGTTACTTAAAGAAGGTGCTGATGTTAACATTCAAAGCAATAATGGATGGACTGCTCTAATGGCTGCCAGTGATAATGGTCATCTCCAGGTTGTGGAACTGTTACTTAAAGAAGGTCGAGCTGATACTGAAATTCAAACTCATGAAGATGGAGTAACTGCACTAATATTGGCCAGTGAAAAAGGTCATACACAAGTTATTGAGTTATTACTAAAACGTAATGCTGATGCTAATGTACAAGATAAAAAAGGAAGAACTGCTTTAATTGTTGCAAGGAAGAGAGGTCATCGAAAAATTGTTGAATTGCTAGATCCAGTTACTAAACAGACTCAATTAGTAACAGCAACTGACACACCTCTGACCACAATTCCAGTAACTACTACTAATGATGCAATCAATACTGATACTTTCTCTCCTGTCATTACTGCAGCATATGACCCAGTATCTTCAAGTATCATGACCTCTACACAATATGATAAACCCTCTACCACTGATACTAGTTATGAAACAATTGGTCATTACAGTTTATCATTAGTAAAGGATCATCTTGTGCAAGCTGTTAAACATCCTTTTAGTTCCTTTGATAGTAAATCCAAAAAGAATATTAATACTGAAAATGAAGAACAAACACAATTTATTTATCAACAATTGAGGGTCAATAATAGAGGATCTCTAAGACCAAGCATTATGAAGAGATTATTTAGAAGGCAACGCAATGTAACTCTACACCACACAAAACCTAACAAGTAGATAATTGTGATAGTTCAATTAAATATTCCAGTGTATTTGTATTAATTTATGATTGCTACTCTATAATGCCACTTTGTATTTCCAAGTATTAATTAGTTTGTGTATTTACAATTTACTATTTTATTTTGCCATTTATTAATCCAATGATGATGGCTATAGGGAACACTCTTTAATGTGTAACAAGAGGAAAGATAAAGAGAAAGACAACATGTGTGTGTTTGTATATGTATACATGCAGTCAGTATAATAATAATTTAAAGATCTGTTGGTGTAGAGTGAGCTGGACAAGTAACAATGAACTGACTCTGATTGAAATGACAACCTAACAAATAAAAGATAAATACATTTTAGTAAACCATCAATGAATACATGTATATAATATATTATACTATTTTGCTAATGCCAACTGCCAAGTGACTAGCCAAATGCATTAATGAGGCTCATTATTGTGTATATCCAGTATTTATAATCATTGGGTCACTGACAATGTCACTAACCTTCTTGTAGAGCACAAGGATAATGATAAGGTCTCTTGCAGGAGTGAAGATGACATATAATTGTAGCACCAGATTTATTACACTTACAACAAACCTGAGAGAGAGAGAGAATAAACCAACACTGTATACTAATAATGAGAGACTTACTAATGATTGTCCTTCTTCAATAGCTTCAGATAATCCTTTTAGCTCATCACCATCAAAATACACACCTGATGCCCACACTGCACACTTCCAATGAGTCCATACATCTATACACATTATTGTAAAACAAATAATTTATAATCATTGTAGTAAGCCATGCATACATGTACATAAGTACATACACTGTACCTTCTGTTCTGTTGTTAACATTGTTTAAAGGTCCATACAGATAACTGAGCTCACTAGCATTATTACCAAGATTACAGAGGGCACAGGACCAGTCTACTATATTAGGAGGCCTCACCTCATCAAATACAACACCTCTTCTCTTCTTTGGCCTCCTCTCATCTGAAGACTGTGAGTCTCCATTAAAACTGTCACTGTTCCTCTTAGCCCTCCCTCCTCTCCCACTGGCTCCAGCAGTACCAGTATCTTTATTAACAGGACCTCCTCCTGATACTTTACTGGTATTACCAAACTGACGGGACGACCCACGTCCTATAATATGAGAAGGACCAGTAGCAGAACCATTGAGTGATGATCTTTTAAGAATATGTCCTCTTGATCTTGTCACTTGGTCTTTAGTAATTGATACTGATACAGGACAGGAGAGGGAAGGAGTGGGTGAGTTTTGATGCGAAGATAACTGAGAGTGAGGGATAGAGGAGGAGCTGGATGGGGAGCCAGAGGGAGAAGCTAGTAATGATAAAAGGACAGGAGAGGATGATGATCTTGTTTGAGGAAATGATGAGGAGCCCTGTTGCTGCACTAGTGGAGAAGAAGATGGACACAAAACTGAAGAGGAGGAGTGTCTTCGAATCAGACAAACGAAAAGACAAATAATAAGAAATGTGTAGTACATAAAACATCATTAACTAACAAATTTCAAAGAATAAGAATTTAGTCAGATCAGTACTGAGCACAAGGAACATCACTAATGGTATGTACCATACAAAGAAAATGAAAAAGAAACAAACAGTGCAAAGTGAGTAGTAGATGAAACTTCATTACTTTGAATACAAATTAATTTCCCTTTAGCCGATCTAGTTATTGGCAATGATAGTCGAGAAGGTTTAGCAGGAGGAGTACGAGACATTGAAGTGGAAAGAGACATAGGAGATTGAGTTTCAGTGCTGCCTTTGTCTACAAATGAGGGAATGTTTTTTAATTTTTCAACACAGAGCCTGGGAACTGAGGAATAAAGTTTAGTGAGTGGCTTCTTTATCAATGGGAGTCTAATGTAGCACTGCTTACCATGGAACAGTCTAGGAGAAGGAGGAGCACTGAATGTCAGTAGGATAAAGGAAAGGAAGGTAGCTGCCCTCAGTGCTAAGAAGGAGACCATTGAAGCAGATAAATATCACAAACACTATCATCATCATCTTTTGGTGCAGAATTGGATCAACTCTTGTGTTGCTTTTGCTTTTTCACTGGATGAAATATTGGTTGGAATATTGGGGGGGGGAACTAGACACAATACAGGTTGGAATGTTGGATGAAACACTGGTAGAGGCACTGGGTAAAGCATAATTTATTGATGGGCTAGCACTGATTAGAGCATTGGCTGCAGGACTGGTTGAATTAGAGTTAGTAATAATGATAGGAGGACTGGTTGAAGAAATAGGAGCTGCATTAGAAGTGTTGGTGAATGAATCAGAAGTCTCTTCCATTGAATTCATTCGTGAACTGGTTTTATCTTTATTTGTTGTGTTTCTCGATTTTATACTACACTCTAATTTTTATTGTTTGGTATTTTTGTTTGTTATTATTACCAGAGTATAAAGGATTGTAGAGATGATGAATTGGATCATCTTAAAACTGGTTTGGAACATGATGCTGAACAGGTACAATGCTACAATGATGCATTGTGCATTATGTTATTTGTGTTATTACTTTTTACTTTATAGGCAGGTAGCCCCACCCTTATTATAGCCCCACCCTTGTTTATCAGCAGTGCTAGTGTTCCAACTTTCAAGAGAAAGCCTGATATTCGCTCATTGTCTGCAAGGTCTGACAGACCTAGTTTAATTCTTCCACTTAATAAGTTGCTGCTACAAAGTTTTTCGTTCCCTCACATGTACTACAGCAATGGTTGGTCTTTCTCAGTGGAGAGCTGCCATTGGTCTGTGGCATTGTCGTTTATCTAGCCGCAGTCACCAAGCAAGGTCACGGAAGTCATGTAACCATCAGTCTCGTGTACCTAATCCTCCAGATGATGATTGTCACTGGATGAATAATGATGAAACTGCTGTGTTTAGTGCCAGTCCTGTTAGTACTAAATCTAATAGTGTGAATTGGGCGTGGCTGGTTGCTGCTCTTGGATTGTCTTGTTTTCTTATTGTATTTCTATTATTTCAGTTGATCCTTCTCCTATCAGGAGATGTGGAACTGAATCCTGGTCCTATCACTATTGAACAAGGTAAGTATGAAATGCACTGTAGATTTAATTGATTAATTTGTTAATAGTTTGTAAGCTGATTGAGGAGTCCCTTCGTATGCATTCTGATGAATTAGAGAAAGCATCAAATTACTACATGAAAGAAGCAATTGCTCAGATCTTTGCGGTTAGCTTAATATGTCAATCAGTTCCATTAACATACCCTGGCATTATTGATGAGTTAATGACTGACCTGTATTCAATGGAAGATGTATCACAGTTGATGGACCGTTATGAGCTATTTCTTGGATATATTTTATCTCAAGATGGAGCCTGTGAAGATGTCCATAGTCAGTTATCAGCAGAATGGTTCAGCATTAAACTTCAATTAGAAGAAGGTAAGTACATTTATAATTTTATTGATTTTCACATCTGATGTATGCAGTGTCTGTAGACTCTTCACATGAAGTTGTTTCTTCTGATACCAATAAAATTCAAGAACAGAGCAACAGAACAATGCCGGAGCAACATCCTTTGTCAATTTCATTGCAGGCAGAAATTTCTCAGCCTGAGCCTATGTCTCCTCAAAGCAATGAAACTGGTTCATCAACAGAAAGAGGTAAAAAATGAATGTATGTTACAAATTAACTTTATATTAAATAAAATAGAGTATGACACATTAAAGAAGAATTTTGCGAATATCTGTATCACATTAGCTGGAAATGTTGAAGTCATATCTCAATTGAATGATTATCTTTTCTCATTCGAGTGTATACCTGAAGCAATACATATTGCAGTTCAGAATACTAGCATTTCTCCTTATGACAGAGCTAATAAATTAGTTTATTCATTATTGTCAATACTTAAGACCCATTCTAATCCTGGTGGTGTATTCTTGTCTTTCATTACTTCACTACAAAAAGTTGGGCTAACTGTAATTTCTGATAGATTATCAAATGACCACAGTAAATAAATGCCTTTTCTGATGCATTATTATTGTAAATCAACTTTGTTTAGATGTTCCTCTACTAATACAGTTACATAATTCTGATAAACATGAAGTGACAAGTAAAAAATCTGAGTACTGCTTAATGATTATTTTATTCTCTTTATTAACAGATTCAATACATGAAAGTCAAGTTAGCATTAAAAGAGCTCAAAATGAAGTAACTGTCAGGATCAGTTCAGAAAGTGAAGTTTTAAAAAATATTCAAAATTTAAAAAGAGACTTTACTTCTTTGGTAACAGAGATCAGAATAGTTTTAGCTGAATCCACCAGCACTAAAGAAATAAAAAGTATATGCATATATGTTGAAGAATATCTTGGTATATGTAGTCTATCCAATATAACAAGTGTTGATCACCTTTTTAGCAAGATAAAGCCACATTATTCATTTCTTAACTGTGACTTGATTTATGAAATAGCTGGAATTTTTTTGCCTGCAAAATGTGACGTACAAAACAAACTAAAAAACTACATGCAAAAATTGAACACATTTGAAAAATCGTCTACTCTGCAGCATATAATAGATATTATAGAAGAAACAATAGAGCCCACTCATGACTCAACCAATGCAGTTTGTGAAGTTGTCTTTAAACTTGACAGAAGGTGGGGATCAGTAATACTAGCAAGCTTTAAGAAAGTTATCTACTACATCTTCAGTGATAATAGTAGAGTGTTGAGTCACATTCGCATTGAGAAAGGATCAATACATGTCAAATATTCAGCGCCAATTGTTCAATCAGAATTACTTGTAAAAAAGGCATCCTCAAAAATTAATTTTATGCAACAAATTGGTATAATCGAAATAAGTGTTAGTGATCACTTTATTCTAAATTCATTTCATAAAAATCCTGAAATTGAAAATTTTTTTCTTAATACTGCTGAATCGGGTTCTCTTATGCAGTTGCAATTGGAGCTACTTTTACAATTAAGTGTTAACATTGATTTTAGAAATGAAGATGGAATGACAGCTCTAATGGTTGCCAGTCAGAATGGTCATCACGAGGTTGTGGAACTGTTACTTAAAGAAGGTGCTAATGTTAACATTCAAGACAATGATCAATGGACTGCTCTAATGGCTGCCAGTGTCAATGGTCATCACCAGGTTGTGGAGCTGTTACTTAAAGAAGGTGCTGATGTTAAAATTCAAAGCAATAATGGAGTGACTTCTGTAATGGCTGCCAGTGCATATGGTGATTACCAGGTTGTGGAACTGTTACTTAAAGAAGGTGCTGATGTTAACATTCAATACATTGATGGATCGACTACTCTAATGGTTGCCAGTAACAATGGTCATTACCAGGTTATGGAACTGTTACTTAAAGAAGGTGCTGATGTTAACATTCAAAATAATAATGGATGGACTGCTCTAATGGCTGCCAGTAACAATGGTCATCACCAGGTTGTGGAACTGTTACTTAAAGAAGGTGCTGATGTTAACATTCAAAACAATGGTGAATGGACTGCTCTAATGGTTGCCAGTGCCAATGGTCATCACCAGGTTGTGGAACTGTTACTTAAAGAAGGTGCTGATGTTAGCATTCAAAACAATAATGGATGGACTGCTCTAATGGTTGCCAGTGCCAATGGTCATTATCAGGTTGTAGAACTGTTACTTAAAGAAGGTGCTGATGTTAACATTCAAAACAATAATGGACGGACTGCTCTAATGGCTGCTAGTGAAAATGGCCACCATCAGATTGTGGAACTGTTACTTAAAGAAGGTGCTGATGTTAACATTCAAAACAATAATGGATGGACTGCTCTAATGGTTGCCAGTGACAAAGGTCATCACCAGGTTGTGAAACTGCTACTAAAAGAAGGTGCTGATGTTAACATTCAAAACAATAATGGACGGACTGCTCTAATGACTGCTAGTGATAATGGTCTTCACCAGGTTGTGGAACTGTTACTTAAAGAAGGTGCTGATGTTCATATTCAAGACTATAATGAATGGACTGCTCTAATGGCTGCCAGTAAGAATAATCATCTCCAGGTTGTGGAACTGTTACTTAAAGAAGGTGCTGATGCTAACTTTCAAAGCAATGATGATTCAACTGCTCTTTTGTTTGCTAGTGATAATGGTCATCACCAGATTGTGGAACTGTTACTTAAAGAAGGTGTTGATATTAACATTCAAGACAATAATGGATGGACTGCTCTAATAGATGCCAGTAGCAATGGTCATTTCCAGGTTGTGGAACTGTTACTTAAAGAAAGTGCTGATGTTAACATTCAAAGCAATGATGAATGTACTGCCCTTTTGTTTGCCAGTGACAATGGTCATCACCAGGTTGTGGAATTGTTACTTAAAGAAGGTGCTGATGTTAATATTTCAAACAAGATTGGAATAACTGCACTAATGGCTTCTAGTGGAAATGGTTACCATCAGATAGTGAAAATTCTACTGGAAGAAGGTGCTTATGCTAATATTCAAACACAAGAAGGAGCAACTGCACTAATGTATGCTAGTGTGAATGGTCATGACCAAACTATTATGATCCTACTACAACATGATGCCAGTGTTAATATGCAAGATGCTAAAGGACGAACTGCTTTGTATGTAGCTAGTATGAAGGGTCATCACCAGGTTGTGGAACTGTTACTTAAAGAAGGTGCTGATGTTAACATTCAAGACAATAATGGATGGACTGCTCTAATCACTGCCAGTAACAATGGTCATCTCCAGGTTGTGGAACTGTTACTTAAAAAAGGTGCTGATGTTAACATTCAAAACAATGATGGATGGACTGCTCTAATGGTTGCCAGTCAGAATGGTCATCTCCATGATGTAGAACTGTTACTTAAAGAAGGTGCTGATGTTAACATTCAAAACAATGATGGATGGACTGCTCTAATGATTGCCAGTCAGAGGGGTCATTGCCAGATTGGGGAACTGTTACTTAAAGAAGGTCATGCTGATACTGAATTTCAAACTCATAAACACGGAGCAACTGCACTAATGCTGGCCAGTGAAAGAGGTCATACACAAGTTATTGAATTATTACTGAAACATAATGCTGATGCTAATGTACAAGATAAAATAGGACGAACTGCTTTGTGTGTAGCTAAGAAGAAAAGCCATCAAAAAATTATATTATTGCTAGATCCATTTACTAAACAGACTCAAGTAACAACACCTGACACACCTCTGACCACAATTCCAGTAACTACTGCTAATGATACAGTCAATACTGAGATTTCCTTTCCTGCTTCACATGACATAGTATCTTCAAGTACCCCAACCTTTACTACACTATATGATACTACCACTGATACTAGTTATGAAACAATTGGTCATTATAGTTTATCTTCAGTAAAGGACCGTCTTGTGCAAGCTGTTAAACATCCTTTTAGTTCCTTTCATAGTAAATCCAAAAAGAATATTAATACTGAAAATGAAGAAGAAACACAATCCATTTATCAACAATTGAGGGTCAATAGTACAGGATCCCAAAGACCAAGCATTATGAAGAGATTGTTTAGAAGGCAACGTAATATATCCCTCTACCATGCAAAACCTAACAAGTAGATAGTTGTGAAATGTGATACTTCAATTTAATAGTCCAATGTACATGTATTTTTATTAATTTATAGCTACTAAAATTGCTACTTTTTAATGCTACTTTGTATTTACAAGTATTAGTTTGTTTGTGTATTTACAATTTGTGTATTAATTTTGCCATTTATTAATCTAATGATGATGACTATAGGGAACACTCTTTAATGTGTAACAAAAGGAAAGATAAAGAGAGAGACAACATGTGTATGTTTGTATGTGTATAGAGTCAGTATAATAATAATTTAAAGATCTGTTGGTGTAGAGTGAGCAGGACAAGTAACAATGAACTGACTCTGATTGAAATGACAACCTAATAAATAAAAGAATGAAAACATTTAGTAAACCATCAACAAATACATTATACTATTTTGCTAATGCCACATGACTAGCTAAATGAGGCTCATTATTGTGTATATCCAGTATTTATAATCATTGGGTCACTGACAATTATACTAACCTTCTTGTACAGCACAAGGATAATGATAAAGTCTCTTGCAAGAGCACCAGCTTTATTACACTTACAACAAACCTGAGAGAGAGAGAGTGAGAGTGAGATAAACCAACACTGTATAATAACAATGAGAGACTTACCAATGATTGTCCTTCTTCAATAGCTTCAGATAATCCTTTTAGTTCATCACCATCAAAATACACACCTGATGCCCACACTGCACACTTCCAATGGGTCCATACATCTATACACATAGAAACAAGTAATTTATAATCAGATAATCATACATGCATGTATACGTGCATTACACTATACCTTCTGTTCTGTTGTTAGCATTGTTTAAAGGTCCATACAGATAACTGAGCTCACTAGCATTATTACCAAGAT